AGGCGGCTGGTTGATGTTTCTCTCTCATCGATGTTTCTGGCTCTCTGTCCCTCTCCCTTCCTCTCTGTAAAAATTCAATAAAATATATTTAAGAAAATATATATGGAGCTACTTGAAAACACACAGTCCTGGGTTTGCTTATTCATAAGAATCACAAGGGTCATCCTATATAATCCTATAGAATAAAAGGCTAATATGCAAATTGTCCCCTTGACCAGGAGTTTGACTGGGAGTTTGACCAGTGGGTGGGGCCAGCCCGCCAACCACCAGCAGCCCCTCCCCCCCAGGCTGGCCTGGCCTGATCGGCCCCAATTGGGGCAGGGTGGCCAGACCTCACCTGTGCACGAATTTGTGCATCAGGTCTCTAGTCCATTAAAAAGTAGCTGGCATCTATGAAGCAGTATTCTCTATCAGAACTTGTGCTCTGCTTTGCACATGAACTATGTCACAGCTGTGGCGACAGGAACCCTATGCACAGAGAATGTTATCACCCCCATTTGCAGTAGACAGGGATGTGGGTCCCCAAGAGCCCTCTTCAGGAAAGGACGTGGCCTAGCTGCTGGAAGACTAAGTAGACATCCTTTAGCCATCAAATGCAGGCTATTTTGACTTAGTACAGAACTCTAATGGTTCCTCTTAGCTCCAGAGCTCCCCATGGGATCGGCCAAGATTGGTGTCAGTCCTGCGCCCCCCTCTACCCACTCACACTTCTCTTTCCTCCCCTTCCATAAAGGTGGGTCTCATGGACATAACATCCTTTAGAAATGTCCCCCAAGCACCTCCAGCACAGTGAACCCCATATCCATGTCTACTTTGCTATGAACCCTGCAACACCACGTTACAGATAAAATGATAAAGCAGGGGACCCCTGGCTAACCTCACCACCTGGCATGGATCCTGGGGGCTGAGACGGCTGAAGTATCAGAATCTTGCTAGGACCACCAAGGCTGACCTGGAAGTTAGGACTGGACTCTGCACTGCGACTCTAGGAAAGAAGGCTGGTAAGACCCCAAGGGGAGCCTGGGAAGCCTGGCAATGCTGGGCTGGAGCTCCACCTCGCCTGAAAGCGAACAAGGTCCAGTCCATTGGCGACTGCTTGGTGTGCAGGTGACGGTAGGACAGGGCGCACGGACGGTGGCAGCAGCCACAGGAGAAACTTTATCTCAGTCTCTCCAATTCAAAGCCTCTGCTAAGGATGCCAGGGAAAAACAGAGGATCTGGGCATCTTAGCGAATGATGAGCTGCAGAGAGAGTGTCTTCCAAGGGCAACGCCTTCATGCTGGTCTTCTGTTTCTGTTGTGCAGACTCCATGTTAACGAACATCGTTTCCAGTAAGAGGCACAGGAAGAGTAATTCACACGATTGTTTGCAATCATCACCTTCTGTGCGATCTTTTGAAAAATTGCATTTGGAACGATTATGATTTTTTAATTGCATTTTAAAGGATTCCTTAGGGGTCGCGCTGATTCAACCGGGTGATGCCTACTGAACAATGATCAAACAAAACATTCTCTGAGACCAAATTGTCAAATGAGGCTTCAGATTGCACTCATTTACCAAGTCATGGGCCACAAATAAAAATGTATCATTTCGAAATGTTAATTAGCATATAATTTAAGATTAGTAGGACCAGTGAGCGGAATTCCAAAGGAAGGAAAATGTATAGGAGCTAAAACTATATCAAAAAAAGGAAACTGGAGAATAACAATGCGAAAGATCGGCACTAAAATGCCCAGTGTGCTAAGAACCTTTCTTAGCAACAGTATTCACTTGTTTACATCTGGAGATATTTATTAAGAGGGTTTCTCCAAATTTGTAATCAAAATCCAAAGAGGAAATACAATAGCTTTTTATAGATAGTCCCTAAACATGAAACACGGATGAGACCCATCAATCCCGTGGGACATGGAACCGTGGAATAGAATAATTTTTATATTTCTCTTTCTTGATGCTCTTTTTTTATTATTGATTTCAGAGACAGGAAGGGAGAGGAGAGAGGGATAGAAACATCAATGATGAGAGAGAATCATTGATTGGCTGCCTACTGCACGCCCCACACTGGGGATCAAGCCTGAAACCTGGGCATGTGCCCTGACTTGGAATCAAACCGTGACCTCCTGGTTCATAGGTTGATGCTCAACCACTGAGCAACACCAGCTGGGCTCTTTTTTTATATTCTTAAAGATGTCCTTTTATCGTTAAAATATTTAAAAATTATACATCCATCTCAGCATTTTAAAGATGTTGTTTTCTGTGCTGGGTTTTTTGGTTTTGATTTTTGGTGGGGAGAGGTGGGTGGAGGCAGTGAAATGGCAGAGGAGCTGGGTCTCCACAGCAGCCTACGGTCTTAACTGTAAAATAAGTAAACAGAAGTAAAGACAAGACAGAGACCAGAGACGGCACCCACCTTAGTTCTGGTGTGGGCCTGCCCACAGCCCGGCCAGAGCTACGCGTGGGCAGAGGAGGTAGATTGGATTGTAAATTGCCACAATCAATGATGGAGAAAAATGAGATGACCCACAACAAATGATACCCAGTTGAGGTAATTCGGTTTGTCAATTGTGCTACTAATAAGCCTCCATTACAGTTTGATGTGCGAGGGGGAATCCAGCTTCATCTATAAGAGGATCAATCAATCCTAAAAGCCACCGTCTGTATCAGCTTTGGAGCACTAACCGACCCAGAGACGGGAGGACTAGAGGCTCAGGAGCCCCCACCCCCGCGCCTGGCCTTTACCTGAAGTCATGAACAGATACATAAGGGAGATGCCAGATGTGCTGAGCACAGTGAGCTGAGAGGCCGGGCTCTAGGGAGCTAAGGGAACTGAATATGTTTGCCCGGCTGGCCTGGCTCTCAGAGGTCTGGCGACTCCTGGTTCCAGCCATGCCCATCACTGTCTGCGCTCCGTGGGGAATAGATAGATTCAGTTAAGCCGGTTGCTCTTGTCTCTGCCGTGTTGACGTGATCCATCTCCTCTAACACACCCTCCCACAGAGCCCGGAAGAGCTGCAGCCACAACCCTGGCAGCTGCTTCCAGTTAGGGGGCTTTTCGAAGTGTTCACAGGAGACACGTGCGTTGTTATGCTCTCCGCTTACTTACTTAGTCTGATGTGTTGTAAGAAAGAAACTCTGTGAAGTCCTTCTGCAGGCAGGAACCTATGTAATCAAATGTTTACTCATCTGCCGGGGTTCTTGTCCCAGCACCAAGGAGGGCTCAGGAATCTGGAAAAGGCTGTGCATAGACGACATAGGAATCCAGAGACTAATAAAGAGTCCAGAGACGAGATAAAATTTTGAAAGGCATTGGGAGTCCGAGGACCTTCAGCTAAAGGAACTGAAGACTCCCTCCTTGCCTAGGACCCTTGCTTTTATTAACACAATTTGTCCTAAGCAAGGTGGAGATAATACACTTCAAAGGGTAAGGTTCCAAAGGGCACAGAAGCATTGTCAGTTTGGGGAATAGCCTACGGCTGTTCAGGTGTTTGGCCAGTAGGAGGCAATAGCATGTGATTAAGATGCCCTTTAACTGTCTGGCAGCCACAGTCAGTTTCCTATTCAGGTTTGGGGAAGTGCCTTCAGCCATTCCCAACAGGTGACTCCATGTGTGACTCAACCCTGTGGAGTCCCCAAGTCTCATCAACCTTTTGATGAAACCCTTGAAATTATGGCATGCTAGAATTGGTCTCCGGCACTCACCTTCAGTGGAAAAGTTTAGCAGCTTCACAGAGCAAACAGGATGCTCTTTAGACAAGCAGCCGGTGTGCGTGGCTCCTTTAATGCTCAAGGGGCTGTGCCCCCCCCCTCCCCCAAATCCTGCCCCCTGCATCCTTACCCTGGGATCCCACAGTCACGTGGAGCGTAGTTGTTCTTGGTTCCTCTTTATCTCCGACACAATCACTAGCTCCAGCGAGCGCCACAGAGCATAGTAGTCGCAGATCGCACACACTGCCCTCTCCCGCGCCTGTGCTGTGTGAGTCAGACTAGAAGCAAGTGGGAGCACAACCACAATACAAGCGCCAGGCTGTGTGTGCGGCTGATCTGTACACAACTGACGATGATGATTGAGGGAGACACCTCTCCATACCAAAGCCGTCCTTCTAGGGCAGGCAGCTCTCTGGAGGGGCTGGGGGTTGTGTGGGATGCATGGATGTCGGATAAAATCATCTCGGAAATAAGAGGTCCCCACCAGCCCTCCCTATGGAATGGGGCCGCCTTCTTGGAGAGGCAGATTCTGTGTCTTGTGGAGAGAAAGCCCCTTCCAAAGTGGCACGGGAACAGCCAGTCGTTGAAAGGGCCATGGCAACACTACGGGCCAACGGCACTCCTGCTCAGACCCTGGAATCGGCAACCCGTGTATCCTCCGGGGAAAGACGGCCTAACACAGTGCACTGGCAGAGGAGAAGCCAGCTGTGGAGGGGCTTCGGAAATGTGGGGGTATTGTTTGTGGAGACCCTAAGAAAAAGGGGGGTGCAGAAGGGAGCTCAGGGAGGTGCTTCCTGGAAACCCACGCCAGCCCAGCGGGTGTCACTCGGCGGTTGAGCATCGACCTATGAACCAGGAGGTCGCAGTTCGATTCCCAACAATTCTCTCTCATCATTGATGTTTCCACCTCTCTCTCCGTCTCCCTTTCTCGCTGAAGTCAATATTTAATTAGAGGGAGTAGTAGGCCTTGTCCACAGCTGGACACAGTCAATTTTTAAGGCAATCTGGATTATTCGTTCTGGCCACGCGGACAGCGCGCGCTCCAGCTCCGGTTCCTGGGGCTGACTCCATTCCAGCGGAGAGGGAACCGGCGACGGGACCCTCTTTTTCCTGGTGTCACAAAACCTTACAGAAGGAGCCCCTCCGACCAGCGATAAAAGCTGATCCCCGAGCTTCGGCTCTTTCCTGCTCTCCAGGCTCTTCTCTGGAAATGACTGACTTAGTGACATGGGGGTAAAGGTGGGGACCGAGTGGCTAAACCCAAAGGTCCTCCCCCCACCCCCACGTTTCCTCCCGGGAAGCCAGACCCAGAGCCGGATGCACCGCGAGGAGGATGGAGTCTCTTGACAGCCTCCGGGGGCTGCTGTGACCTTTGACCATCTGATTCCAGATTTTTTTCCTGCTCTTTTTATTTCCTCCCCTCGCCATCTATCCATCCATCGTGCAATGACTGACTCTCGCTCCGTTCCGAGAGAGGAGACCATGATTGAGTGAAGCCACCCTGTCTGCAACCAGGTAAGCGGCGCGTGGACTTGCTCGAAGGCGAGGCGCTGGCATCCATGTGGGCAGGACGCTCCGTGCCCCGGGTCCCCTCTCCCCCTCCCCAGGCGCCGCTGCCACTGCAGGCACCTCCGCGCGAGGAGTAGAAACAAGATGCCCAAGTCAGGGGAAGGGAGAAGCCGTTACATAACTAACAGAAGGGAAATCTGCTTCACACGGTTTTCATGAGCAACTGAAAACTCCCGGAAGGGGCGGGTGGAGAGAAAGGGTCTGCATGCCCGGGCACGGAGAGACCCAGTCCGTTACTGCGGGCATTTCACAGCCTCGCACAGCCGGGGCCAAGACCGAGGGGCGCCGGCATGTACCCTTGGGGAAAGCCCATTGTCTTTGTGGAAAGCTGAGAGAGACAGAGACAGAGAGAGAGATGGAGAGAGAAGAGAGAGAGAGAGAGAGAGAGAGAGAGAGAGAGAGAGAATGAGGAGGAGGAAAAGGAAAAGTGAGGGGTTGGGGAGAAACGGGCAGAGAATGGAAACAATAACTCCCAACTGTTTCCCATCAGCATAACCAGAGGTGTGATATGCTGGCTACAAGCTCTCTCTAAAAGTCAGTGAATTATTGGGGCGGGGGGGGGGGGGCGCCTGTTTTTTTTTTGCGCCTGCAGATCAAATGAGATGCCATGGCATTAGGGAGCTGGGTGAGTCCGCTGCCTTGCTCTCTCCTGGGTATGTTTTATTTGCACGGAGACTTGAGGTTGGGTTCGTTTGGACAGACATGGCATTAGGATTCCCAAACCCCAAGAAACCTGGGGGCGATCCACAGGTACATCTCTGTGTCAGGCTCAATATGGAGAGACTCGGGGAGGAGGCGTATTTTAATAGGAACAGCCACACAGAAACGGGGTGAGGTTCATGGAGAACCAGAATACCAGAATTTTCCAAAGAATCCCGCCTCCACTCCTATAAAAGGAAGGGGTGGGGAGAACCTCGTGTTGGGGAGCTGGAGATTTATTGTATGTTTAGAGTGTCTCCTGCCTGTTTTTATCCAAAGTCAGGCGGTCCGAGGGAGCCCCCACAAAACAGGGTGCGATGCCAGCCACGTCCCTGCCAGCACCCTTACCCGCCTGCCTGTCCCCTGCTGAAATCCGGAGCACCGGGTGCCCAGGAGCTGCTGAGAGGAGAGGGGGGCTTGCTACAGTCCAGGCTGAGCTAACTAAGCTTCGCCCATTTTGCCTGGAGAGAGAGCTCGAGTCTCCATGGCGACTCAGGTGGGAGGGGAGAAGGCAGCTCCAGTTACCAAAAAAAAAAAAAAAAAAAAAAAAAAGATTGGACAAAACTTTCCCAGCTCCAGGCAAAGAAGTCAACCAGCCGCGTGCCCAGCGGAGGGTCCTAGGGCACCGGCTCTTCCTAGCTTCCTTGCCGGCGACCCTCGAGGGGGCACCCGGAACCCAGCCGGTGCCCAGCGAACCTCCCAACGTGGCCCGGAGGCTGAGATGGTCAGGGCCCCGGTTCCGGTTTCAGCACCAAGGCCAGAGCACAGCGCCCGTTCCCACCTCTCGGGCTGCAGCCCCAGCCAGGGAAATGTTAGCTCCTTAACCGGAGCGCAGTCACTTTCTCCAAAGGACTGACTGACTCCCTTGCTGGGCAGAATCAGAAGAGCTGATCCTCCACGGGATTGCGTGGGACAGAGAGGCTGCAAATCATCCATTTCACGCATGGCGGTGCATCCGAGTAGCTATTCAAAACCCAGAGCCTGATTCAGCCAGAGATCCGAGATGAGCTGAGAATGAGAAAGATCCGGTCCTTAAGGGAGAAAAGGGACACACGCACACACACGCTCGAGCGCACACACATGCACACATACACGCATGCACGCATGCACATGCTCACACACGCACACACCAAAGATCAGTCCCTGAGGACAGTTTCCTCGGTTCAACCTTTGGCTTCAAAAGCATCCATTCATCCTTCACTCCCTGGCTCTCCGAATTCTGGGGGATGGGAGGTGCGCAGGGGTGCAGATAGTAGAAAGGCGCTTGTGGGAACATCCTGGTCTGTGAGACGCCAACCATGTCCTGTCTAGGGGTCCTGAGACCCCCTCAGGAGAGTGGAGACATAGTTCACTCTTAGTCGGGACCTGGCGGACTCCCAGGCAGTGCTGATGAGCCCCAGGAAACGGAAGGTGTGTTAGTGAGATGCGACCAGGTGACTGTCTTCAAGCCAGTGTGTGAGCAGCGTGGCTAAGTGTATGAGGTTGCGGGCCTAGGAAACAGAGGGCAGGACTCCCTTTTCTTAATAGAAACAAGGAAGAAACTGCAAGAGGGGGCAGGTTATTATCACCCGGGGTCCATTTCCACCTCCTCCAGGGGCACAGGTAAGTCCCTCTCGCATGCTGCCCTCACCTTGGGCAAGGCTGGTCTCTGCCCTGCCCTCCACGTCTTTGGTAGTAGGGCCTGGTCCTCCCACCCCGCAAAGTGATGCTGACGAGGAAATTGGTAGGGAAGGTGACAGCTGCATTTCAAGTAGGAAGTTGTTGCAAGTGGCATTGAGGTGTCACGGGCACGGGCACGGTTTGAAGTGCAGAGCCCAGGCAAGGTCTGGCAGCTGGTTGGAAGTGCTGTGAAGCCTCCAGAATATGCTGGCTGCTTTTCTCTTTTGAGGATGCCCTTATGCGGTGTGGTCTTGAGCTGGTTCTGGCTGGTTGCTTTTGAAGGTAAACAAGACAGATCCTGGTTTTTCTTGCTGGTCATGCCGTTGCTTCCCAACGACGATGTACGCAGAGCACTGGGGACCTGGTTAAAGCAGTGTGTTTATACCTTCTAGCCCTTTGCAGGGGAGGGAGGGTCTTTTTTTTCATGGTGGCTAGTAAAGGCAGAAGCAAGCTAGCAATCTACTGCAAACCTGGGCGAAGGAGGAGCTGTCACACTGCTTCTTCCATTTAGTGTCTGATGGGTACAGGCAAGTTTATCTCTGGTTTAATGTATGAAAAGTGCTGCTCGAGAGAAGCGCTGCGGAGTGTTATGACTTAGAGCAGCTGTGCCCTGGCGTTGTTCCGTCTGATACTGTCAGCAGCAGGGAAGTAGAGATCACTTAGGAAGATAAAGCCATCGAGGATATGGGTTATTAAACAAAGCAATGTATGGGTGAGTTCTAAAGTTCTGTTTCTCTGGCGAATTAAAAAATAAAGACGAGACTGTAAATGATCTAGGGTACGACATTGCTCGACCAATAACCCTTCGTTCTGGTAGAGCGCAGGCCCATGTGTTCAGTGCTAATTTACCAAACTACGACTGCTTTCTTCCTCGGCGGTTCATTGCTGAGCAAAGTGTCGTTATGTCCTTATGACAGTCAATACACACTCCAAAATCATTGTCTGCCCATTCCAGTCAGATCTGTTACGGAGAGCAACTTAAAATGTATCCCTGTGCGCTCAGAGCCATTTTGTCATTTTTTTTTTAGAAATGTAATACTGCACCCTGGTATTTCATAAACACCAGTACATAACATACCCTCTTGTATGGCCCAGGTCTTTATTTACTGCATCGGCTGTTTCTGTGAATATACACAAATGCTTGAATTTGCTCTCATGTTCCTCTCTGTCTTCTCACAAACTATCTCTGCTTTTCAGGATAAAAAGAAAGTAGGACATGAAAATAGCTGTTTAATAATCAATAGGAAAAAAATCATTGGAGATTAAAAATGAGTAAATGTAGCCTTACGGTAGCTTAACCCCATTCACTGGTTTTCACAAGTAGAAAGTATTACTTTCCTCAAGAGTAGAATGTTGATCATGTGAAGCTTCATGAAAACAGGATAAATCTTCTCAACCAACATGAGCAGGTGGGCAGGACGAAGTACTTCTTCTTTTCACTAATTTTTCCTTCATCAGATGATCTGTACGTTACATGTGGATTAATAAAGGAGATGTGCCAGCAAGAGGCAGGCTAAGGGGAGGGCGGACATTAGGGGAAAGCAGGTATTTATTTTTACCCAATTTAAATTGAGGATATTTTTCAAAGCAGGCCTTTTTTCTTTTAATCCATTGTATCAGAACTTGAAGGCTGGTGACATTGAGATGTTTAAATTGAACAAATTTGGATTTCTAGCTTGTTAAGGTGGCACTTACTATTTCTTTCCTTTATTTTCAATAATGTTATTTAGGTCCCAAAGAGAAGTGGTTCATCTGGATTTTTACAAAATTATTAAATTTTATTCATTAATATCAATCAAAGGGGAATTGGTAGTTAAGTTAAAAAATCACCGAGACACTTTTGTTGAATTACAGCTTTATTTTTAGTTGTAGTTCAAGTGTTTCGGGGGATAGAGAAATAAAATGAAGCCATTTGGGATAAAAATATGTTTTAAATGTATTTTAAATAATTAGTTCTAGAAAGAATTAGGGTCCTGTGGAAAGAAGTTGTCGTCATAATTGCAGTCCATGCTCTACTGGTATTCTGCCCCTCGTCTGAGAAAACACTATACGCTCCACATATCGGTATCATTTGACTACCTCTAGTTAATAACACAAAGTTATTTTCCTCAAATAAAGAAGGACCATGTCATCCTAAAAAGAATGTTCATATCCCCTAACCTGTAGCCTTGCTCAGTCTCACATTTCATATTTCCTCTCCACGGCTGTGCTTAGGCCCGGGGACCTACAGTACATCTATATCGTGCTGGTAGTTCTTTTAGTGATTAGATTTTGACTAGTATTCACCGGTCATACTCCCAGTCAAAGGGATGTGGTTTCTGCTATGAAAACTTTGCAAAATGAGCCAGCGAGTGAATCTATGGATAAAAAGACCCACGCCCTCGCCAACAATTGTTTTGTGGGACTAACTCAGAGCATGGTCTGTGCAATGTGAGAGACAGATCTATAAATTCAGTTTGAATCCTGGTGCTGTAGCAGTTTCCTCTGTAAACTTACAAGCGTCCACTTTTTTCCTACCCAGAATGAGAATTGATTTTTTTAAACGATGTTTTATATGTTTCGCATATCATCTAACAGGAATTTGTACA